ATGACTGCTACGTGCACGCCTGCATTGCGCAAAGAGAATGTGTTTTGCATCGGACGGGCGGAGATCTCGCAAGAGCTGTTCAGACGATCGGCGACATCTCAGAATACCGAAGCCAGTACCAGATGGGTGTGAAGTCCATAATGCATGTTGCAGCAGGGAGTACTATCATCCAGCATGCGCTGAACTTTTTTCAGAATGAGAAGTTAGCAGCATCGATGCAGGCCCTCGACGCATGGCAGCCGTTACATCATACGCCAGCCGAAGAGGTTGTGGCTTTCCGCATGGACGTCCTTCGTGGGAGACTCCTTCGTTTCCAGGGCCGATTTCGAGAATCTCTTACATATCTGGAGGCACATGCGGCAGATCAATGCGGGGATGTTGTGTTCGATGAAGATCTACCTGATCTGGTGTGCGAACTAGCAGACACGTTTCGAGAACTTGACAATCCGTTGCGCGCGGAACGAGTCCTACGAACACAGCTCGCACGGGGGGAGAGCGCCTATGCGCCGGCAATAAGCCTTTTGAAGCTGTCCCTGGCGGAGTCCTTGTACGCTCAGGGGCGATATCCCGAGTCTCAAGAGCTCTGCTTCAACGTCATCTCACAGCAGGGCGTTTCAAAGGTGGGAAGGTTGCGGCTCTATATCACTCTTGCGAAGTTGCGACACGTCGTATCAGACTGGGACGTGGCATTTGAGCATTGGACAAAAGCACTGGACATTATAAACCAGTTCCCTCCTACGAGCGGATTGGCGACACATATCATCCACCTCTCCATTTCCGATATTTTGCGCTGTCAGGGTCGGAGTGGGCTGGAATTGGCGTCGCATCCGGCTGTGGCTGTCCTTGAGCAGCTCTCTGAGAAGTCGGAAGCGAAGCATTGGATTGCGGGGTTACGACATTGGTCGGCTTACTTGGAATCGCGAAATATATGAACAAGATATATATGTTTATCCCAATAATGCCACTCGTGGGGACTCAGATCCACGGGCTTCGTGCATCACTTCCTAGCCTTCCGACGAAGGTCATGCATATCGGGGGGTCTCTCCATGCCCAAGCGCGTCAAAAGCACGTTTGCATCAGTGCTTAGTTCTTCTTCCCAGTAAACATTGATCAGAGGCTTAGAGCGGCAGGCGCTTCTCAAGGCCCATGGCAGGTATATGCGGAAGAAGCGGTCCCGCTCCTGGGGTTTTAGCCTAGCCACAGCAAACAAACTCAGGGCTGTCATGGGTAGACCGGTATTGACAAACTCGAATGCTTTCAATGCGATTTCCCCCTCGACAAAGGATGGCGGAAGGCCCAGAACTGCATGATAGATATCATGGCATTCTCGGTACCTCTGCATCACAAAGGCGCACTCTTCGTCGTCGATATACCTGACTTTATCCCTCCCGTCGGGGGAGAATTGATAGCGCTCGCAGAAGGCTGCGTAAACGCGGCCGACCGTGTTTTCTGGTAATGAGCGTAACATGTCGAGAGGCATAGTCTTCGGTGTAATTCGAGGTCGATCTCGTAGTATGCGGCGGCCGGTCTCACTTGCGAGCATCGTGTCTCGAAGACGTTCGAGAAAAGGACCAGCGGTCACCTCGCCAGTCGCAGCAACTAGGTCTGTAGCATGAGTGATCAGTCACAGCATTCCAATGACCGAGTTAAGTAGACGTACCAGCTCGATATGGATTCAAAAAGGCTCCGACGGCCGCACCAACGCCCAGGGCAGCCTTTTCCAAGTTCGTGAGAGGAACATGACCATCGTATTTCGGTGGAGGCCTGTTGAGAACAGAGAATAGCTTCACGAAGGGTTGTTTCGTTGGGTCGGAGTTGCCTAAGCTTTGGACCACCCGTCGGCCGGACATTGATAGAAGAAGAGGGCGCATCATCCTTGCGATGAAGTCATGCCATGGAGTTGGAGCGCGACTCGCCCATATTTTGAAATTGGCTTTGGTCGACAGTCATGTGACGTATCACGAGACGGAAGTTGCGGGGTAGCAAGGCGGCTGAAAGCCGGGGATTGTCGGTATGCTGATCATTCCCAAGCTAATACCCCGTGCGCATACTGCATTCGCCTCGACGATAAAATGACCTGGCTTTCCCCCGAGAACTTTATTGAGCCACAACTTCCTCATTGCCCACGATCGTAGCACACAGGAGCCTGCAAATGAACATTCCGCCGTTCACTCCTTAAGCCTGAAAGAGGGCCGGCAACGGGCGAACCAGCCCAGACAGAAATCTCCTGCTGTGCAGTACATCTTGTTGACTGAACCAGAGGCTCGTGACATTGCGTCTCTTTCGCCATCTAACCACGCCAGTGTGAGAAAATTAATGGAATGGCGGTGCCTAAATCTATCCTTGTGTGGCTCATCGACACGGCTTCGTCTTCTCAATACGAGACGGACATCGTCATTAAATATAATGTTTTTATACCGACCGTCGAGAGGTCAACGTATACGGGGCTCGTACTGTGACAGTGAAGGCCGAGGTTCGATTTCTGCAACGGGCCATCAAAGGTATCATGTCGCACCGACGTTACGGACTTGATCTCTGCTATCTCAACTCTCCTTATCAACCTGGCGTACTAGCGGCAATCGAACGGGCGACATTGATGTGTGATATTTTTGTGAGTCTGCTGGGTCGGGACTGATAGATTATCTTGACATCCCGGGCTCATTTGAGACGAGTTGTAAGAAAGTGGCAAAGATGATTCAAGATGGTTCTCTGAAGGCACTCTCCGGCATACCGGACGATGTTCAAATTGAGATTGCGCAGAATCTGCCTCCTTACGGTTTCCTCCAAGCAGCTTCCGAAGATATGGGAATCATCCCTGGCAGGTCAAATTTACTGAGATTACCCATCCCTCTTCTACCCGATTGCGCACGAGAACTCGACAACTTGCTTCAGAATGACGAGAACATGGTTCGTATATCATGTCAAAAGTAGATTATCCAGTGCTTACGAATTGAAAGCAAGCTGTTATATACAAATGGGCTGAAGAGAGGAAATTAATTTTTGACCTTGGGAAAAGGTACTCTGGGCCACAAATCATTTGGCTCCAGGGCGGCGGCATATCAACGAAAAAAGACAGAATTTCGTTCTTCACAGTTCTGCGACGGCCAAAGCGTAGACCTGTTGAACACGTTGGAGCGTATGTGCCCCGAGAAGAACCATCTTCTGAAGGCATGATTGATAGACCAATCGCCGAAAACCAATTTGTTCAGTCAACGTTCAGATGTCAAATTGTTGTCTGCGGCGGTCTGTTGGCATGAGACGTTTGAACTTCAATGTATTTTTCTGTAGCTTGATTCCGACTATAGACAAGGTGAAGACAATGAAGGTGTGGTACAGTACGAGTGAGGAGGTTCGTGCTGTCTCCAAGACTCTCCGATGAGATTACACCCATGCGATTGTGAAAGTGGTGGGTGGACTCATATTGATAAATGAGGACCTGCACAAGATATTGCACAATGATTCATTTTACTCGTCTACAAGCAGTGATGATGCTAGGGGTTGGATTGAATTGACAAATTTGAGGTACTTACAGTTAACTAACCCCCAACTTTCCTCCTCGCCACCCACCCTCCATCAACCACATTTTTACGACGCAATTTTTGGCATTCATCACATCCCCGCGATTGTAAAAGCATGGTTGAAAGAATATCAATGCACCGAAAGAATATCAATGTGGTGCATTGACATTACGTGAAGCAGCTAGCACATGGAGTGGCATTGGGCACATTCTCCAACGAACGGGAAGCTAGTCTAAAGAAGACGAAGCTATCGCCGTCGATGGAGGCATCGTTCTTGGTCTGGTTCCTCGCAGAAGAACAAGCTAGACTCCGTCCTTCCCGAGCCACAGTCCATCGCTTCGCACAAGCCACCGTCGATGTCGCCGGCATCGACCATGCCCTGGGCAAAAGATAAGATATCATTCTGATGACAGTTTCCTGCAAGCCGTGATACTTGAAAGAAGATGAGTCATGTGGTTGATGGTGTGACATTCACAGTTATAAATATCAGAAACGCTGTGGTTTCAGAAATAGCCTCCTTTAAAGCCACAGACTAAAGCTGTAGCCACGGGGTCAAACTAGAACAAGTCCTTGAAGAAGCTGTTGGACTGAGCTTCGGTCTTTGTATTATGGCCTGTTTCTAATCTCAGGGCCCGCCGTGGTGGCGCACTCTGCTCCAAAGTTGGCAACATCCAGGTCGAAAGAATGGGGGGCCTTGCCTTGGCCCCAATAATGGCGCGGGAGTCGGTCTCAGAACCCGTCAGAACTGAGAGACTGGAACTCATCGTCACTTTACGCACCATTGGTGTGGATCGTCAAATAGAATTATATTGTACAATAGTTTACTTGAACTGAATGAAAAGTCTGTGTCTGCAGCTGTAGTTGCAGTACAGTACTTACATTGAATGGTCATGCCAGATGTTCCGTTCCGGTCAAGAGACAGACCCTGGCGCACACCGCCTTTGGTATTCTTAGCTTGCAACCACTCACTCCGCTTTCATCCACAACAGCGTCTCTCGGTTGACAGCATAATTGCATTTTCTTACGAAAACAGCATCGCTGTATGATTTTGAGGGTTGTAGCGGTGAACTGTTTTTTTTTTTTTTACCCTATATTTCCCCAAATCGTGGATCAATGTCCACAATATATTGTCATTCTTCGTCGTCACCGACCTTCTCCTGCGGCTGCTTCTTCCTATTGTAGCTTTTATATTTAGGGCAGATGGCAAGCATTATCTGCTCGGTGACCGCCACAAATGTCCACTGAAGTATGTTGTTCCATCAGTTGACCGCGCATGTCTCTGCACAGAGAGAATTTTTCAGCATCAGATTCACAACGGCGAACATTTTCGTTGATCCTTCTTAGGGATTCGGCTTGCGATTCCGTCAGGAACTTTGAGAATTGGTCGATCTTTTCGGCTTCCATCGGGGCAGGATCACCAGAATCGGCTATGTGAGAGGAATTTGGATGAGTGCCGTACGCTTGGGGGGTTGTGACTATGTCGTTGCTTCCTTATATATTATAGGTCTTCTTCTTCAGGTGCTGTATTGGGCGACCACAGGAATTCGCACGTGCGGACTTCTTGACTAATGAGTGTGCACCTGATGATACTGTACAGTACAGTAACTCAAAAATCAGTGATGAGGCGTCTGCTCGGTGACTGTTGCTCATATTTAGAGGGGAAAAGATAACGTGTATACAGCATCGTGACAGCCGAACCTGCTCGCCCAGATGAGATTTGTTCAATGTGAACGATTCTGGGCTGAGCGATACGATTGGCTAACACGGCTGTTTTCCCTAGGTTGGGGCTCTTTAGGCTCCACATGGTTAGCGCAGTTGTACAATTTGTGTCAATCTATGCGACTACCTATCGAGGCAGCAGCTCCGAACTGACCGGAGTAGCAGTGTGCGGAATAAGAGCCACCGGAAGAAGTAATGAATCGAGAACACGTTATTTGTCCAATGGAAGTCGGCATGTCCCAAGAGATGATCGGAGTTGATTGGTTGATTGGTTGATTGGTTGATTGGTTGATTGGTTGATTGGTTGATTGGTTGATTGGTTGATTGGTTGA